AACTACATGGAAACTGAACAACCTGCTCCTGAACGACTACTAGGTAAATAATGAAATTAAAACAGAAATAGAGATGTTCTTTGAAACCAATGAGAACAAAGACACAACGTACCAGAATCTCTGGAACACATTTAAAGCAGTGTGTACAGGGAAATTTATAGCACTAAATGTCCACAAGAGAAAGCAGGAAAGATCTAAAATCGACTACCCTAACATCACAATTAAAAGAACTAGAGAGAAGCAAGAGCAAACAAATTCAAAAGCTAGCAGAAGGCAAGAAATAATTAAGATCAGAGCAGAACTGAAGGAGATAGAGACACAAAAAAACCTTTAAAAAAATCAATGAATCCAGGAGCTGGTTTTTCGAAAAGATCAACAAAATTGATAGACTGCTAGCAAGACTAGTAAAGAAGAAAAGAGAGAAGAATCAAATAGATGCAATAAACAATGATAAAGGGGATATCACCACAGATCCCACAGAAATACCAACTATCATCAGATAATACTATAAACACCTCTATGCAAACAAACTAGAAAACCTAGAAGAAATGGATATATTCCTGGACACACACACCCTCCCAAGACTAAACCAGGAAGAAGTTGAATCTCTGAAGAGACCAATAACAGGCTCTGACATTGAGGCAATAATTAATAGCCTACCAACCAAAAAAAGTCCAGGACTAGATAGATTCACAGCTGAATTCTATCAGAGGTACAATGAGGAGCTGGTACCATTCCTTCTGAAACTATTCCAATCAACAGAAAAACAGGGAATCCTCCCTAACTCATTTTATGAAGCCAGCATCATCCTGATACCAAAACCTGGCAGAGACACAACAAAAAAGAATTTTAGACCAATATCCCTGATGAACATCAATGCAAAATCCTCAATAAAATACTGGCAAACCGAATCCAGCAGCACACCAAAAAGCTTATCCACCATGATCAAGTGGACTTCATTCCTGGGATGCAAGGCTGGTTCAACATATGCAAATCAATAAAGGTAATCCATCACATAAACAAAACCAATGACAAAAACCACATGATTATCTCAACAGATGCAGAAAAGGCCTTTGACAAAATTCAACACTCTTTCATTCTAAAAACTCTCAATAATCTAGGTATTGATGGAGTGTATCTCAAAATAGTAAGAGCTATTTATGACAAACCCACAGCCAATATCATACTGAATGGGCTAAAACTGGAATCCTTCCTTTTGAAAACTGGCATAAGACAGGTATGCCCTCTCTCACCACTCCTGTTCAACATAGTGTTGGAAGTTCTGGCCAGGGAAATCAGGCAAGAGAAAGAAATAAAGAGTATTCAATTAGGAAAAGAGGAAGTCAAATTGTCCCTGTTTGCAGATGATGTGATTGTATATTTAGAAAACCCCATTGTCTCAGCCCAAAATCTCCTTAAGCTGATAAGCAACTTCAGTAAAGTCTCAGGATACAAAATCAATGTGCAAAAATCACAAGCACTCCTATACACCAATAACAGACAAACAGAGAGCCAAATCATGAGTAAACTCCCATTCACAATTACTACAAAGAGTATAAAATACCCAGGAATCCAACTTACAAGGCATGTGAAGGACCTCTTCAAGGAGAACTACAAACCACTGCTCAATGAAATAAAAGAGGACACAAACAAATGGAAGAACATTCCATGCTCATGGATAGGAAGAATCAATATCATGAAAATGGCCATACTACCCAAGGTAATTTATAGATTTAATGCCACCCCATCAAGCTACCAATGAGTTTCTTCACAGAATTGGAAAAAACTACTTTAAAGTTCATATGGAACAAAAAAAGAGCCCACACTGCCAAGACAATCCTAAACAAAAAGAACAAAGCTGGAGGCATCACACTACCTGACTTCAAACTATACTATAAGGCTACAGCAACCAAAACACCATGCTACTGGTACCAAAAAGAGAGATAGACCAACGGAAAAGAACAGAGCCCTCGGAAATAATACCACACATCTACAACCATCTGATCTTTGACAAACCTAACAAAAACCAGAAATGGGGAAAGGACTCCCTATTTAATAAATGGTGCTGGGAAAACTAGCTAGCCATATGTAGAAAGCTGAAACTGGATCCCTTCTTTACACCTTATACAAAATTAATTCAAGATGGATAAAATACTTAAATGTTAGACCTAAAACCATAAAAACCCTAGAAGAAAACTTACGCACTACCATTTAGGACAAGGACTTCATGAGTAAAACACCAAAAGCAATAGCAACAAAAGCCAAAACAGACAAATGGGATCTAATTAAACTAAAGAGCTTCTGCATAGCAAAATAAACTACCATCAGAGTGAACAGGCAACCTACAGAACGGGAGAAAATTTTTGCAATCTACCCATCTGACAAACAGCTAATATCCAGAATCTACAAAGAACTTAAACAAATTTACAAGAAAAAAACAAATAATCCCATCAAAAAGTGGGCGAATGATATGAACAGACCTTTCTCAAATGGAGCCATTTATGCAGCCAACAGACACATGAGAAAATGCTCATCATCACTGGTCATCAGAGAAATGCAAATCAAAACCACAATGAGATACCATCTCACACCAGTTAAAATGGCGATCATTAAAAAGTCAGGAAACAACAGATGCTGGAAAGGATGTGGAGAAATAGGAAAGTTTTTACACTGTTGGTGGAAGTGTAAATTAGTTCACCCATTGTGGAAGACAGTGTGGTGATTCTTCAAGGATCTAGAACTAGAAATACTATTTGACCCAGCAATCCCATTACTGGGTATATATCCAAAGGATTATAAATCACGCTACTATAAACACAAATGCACACATATGTTTATTGCGGTACTGTTCATGATAGCAAAAACTTGGAACCAACCCAAATGTCCATCAATGACAGACTGGATTAAGAAAATGTGGCACATATACACCATGGAATACTATGCAGCCATAAAAAAGGATGAGTTCATATCCTTTGTAGGGACATGGATGAAGCTGGAAACCATCATCCTGAGCAAACTATCACAAGGACAGAAAAGCAAACACTGCATGGGAATTGAACAATGAGAACACTGGAACACAGGGCCGGGAACATCACACATGGGGGCCTGTCGTGGGGTGGGGGGCAGGGGGAGGGATAGCATTAGGAGATATACCTAACGTAAATGATGAGTTAATGGGTGCAGCAAACCAACATGGCACGTGTATATCTATGTAACAAACCTGCACGTTGTGCACATGTACCCTAGCACTTAAAGTATAATAATAATACAAAAGAACGCTTTCAAATGAATAATAAAAAAATAGTATGCTCAGAATATTCTCTTTTCTTGTTAAAAAAAAAAAAAAATCAATGCAGGCCGAGTGCGGTGGCTCATGCCTGTAATCCCAGCACTTTGGGAGGCCGAGGCAGGCGGATCACGGGGTCAGGAGATAGAGGCCAACATGGTGAAACTCCGTCTCCACTAAAAATACAAAAATAAGCTGGGTGCGGTGGCGTTTGCCTGTAATCCTAGCTACTCAAGAGGCTGAGGCAGGAGAATTGCTTGAACCCAGGAGGCGGAGGTTGCAGTGAGCCGAGATTGTGCCACTGCACTCCAGTCTGGCGACAGAGCGAGACTCTGTCTCAAAAAAGGGAAGGGAAGGGAAGGGGAGGGGAAGGGAGGGGAGGGGAGGGAAAAGAAAGGCACATGTAAAGCAAGTCTTAGAGCACACTTGTTATCTGTGGAAGATAGAATTATGAAGGCGTTTTATAATATATTTTTGCTCAGATTTTTATGATACCTCATGTGTATTTATTTATTGCATTATCAGAAAATAAAGATAAAACCCTTAAAAAACAAAACAACCACAACCAAAAACAAACAAACAGAAAGTAAAATCACAGCATTCCAAGGGTAGCCCTCAACATAATGAAGACCAAATTTCCTAACAGCTGAATGAGAAAGGAACTTGCGTTGAATGTAAATTAGGAAAAAAGTAAAAATTGTCTCCTGCACACCAGTCTGCAGATTCATACACCCAAAGTTAATTTGTTGATATTTTAATCTACTTCTAATTACGAACTGTGTTTATTATGAGACTATCAAAAAAACTGCTTTCCATCAACATGCAGGTGTTTTCTTTGAAGGGGATTCCAAATACAAAGGGATTGACACGTTCATATTTACTTAGCAAATAATGATCTAATCCCTGGGTCAACAGTGAAGCTGAGGAAGGAGAAGACTGTTTCTAAGTGATGGAAGGTTGTTAGGCAGGACTCAGTTGGATTCTAGGTTTCAGGGTGGGGACTACTGTACTGCCTTTTCAGTCAGGCGGATCCCAAAGAACTGCTGCCTGGACGGGAATGGGAATATGGTCTGGCTGGGAAAACAGAAAGCAGATGAAAGAAAGTGTGATACGAGTTGCAGACTCAGGGCCTTGAGCACTGTTCTTTCTCACCTTTGTGGTGGGGGATGACGGGGTGGAAATGCATTCTCCCAGTCGGATCACATGCCACTACTCACCAGTCTTATATCCCGTCGCGGCTTCACATATATTATTTACCCGGCCTGTGTGGCATTTTACTTTGCATCCTTGCTTGGGAGTCTCATGGGCTACGAAGAAACGTTTTACCCCCAGGTAGCCGGCGGGTGCTGAGGGAGTATTACTGGAGCGGGATAAGTGGGGATGTCGCTGCGCCCTCGTCCCTTGATCTGCGGGGGACGGCCATTCTCAGGGTTCCCGAGGAGCTGGCTCCGTGCACCTAGGCCCTAGGTCGGCTCCCAAGCCCCGGCCCACCACTACACCAGCCACTTCTTACCCGCAGGTACAAATCTGACACAGACACCAGCTCCTCATGCTCTCGGCTCCAAGGGTTTCTTTCAGCTCGCCTCAGCACTTGCAACTTCTTCACTCTTACAGCGCCCGCCGTAGTCAAGGCAACAAAGGGATGCCTGGTGACGGACGCGGCGCCGGCTTCCGGCGGCGGAAGGGACGCGTCAGTAAGGGCGTGCAGGACTCGCAGAGTTCTCCGCGTTCCGAAGCTCTTGGTGTGGCCGGGACCCGGGAGGAGGAACAGGGCTCGTGGGGTTGCTGCAGACGGTGAGTGCGGGCTTGCGTTAGGAACTGGCATCTTCCTCGGCCAGCCTCTGGGCGGTGCTGGAGGACCCCGCTCGCTGCGACTCTGAGGCGGAAACCCGGGCTGGGGCCGAGCGCGGGCTGGGAGCGGCGGTCCCCGGAGTGTGGCTTCCAATCTGGGGTCGGGGCGTGGCCTGTCTGTGTGGACCCGGGATCCTCAAAGAGAACGAATCCGGGACCCTGCAGAAATGAAGGGCATGTAGTGTAGACGTTTTTCCTTTTTATTTAGAAAGGAATGAAAGACCGGCAGTGCACCTGCTTGGATAATAAGCACGTGACCCAAAACTTTGTTCGGGCTCGGTGGGCAGGAATAAAGCTGGGTATTCGACCTCGCGCGAGGACTAGCGAGAATGTCAGAATGAGGGACTTGGGGGAAGACTGAAGAGAGAAAGGGAGCATCTTCTTCAGCATCTTGTCAGCCTCCTGCATTCAACCCTTCCTGTACGTGGCCATTGGCCTGGAGAAGTTTACCAGAGTTCTCCTCCACCGGCAGGGTTACTGGTGTCACTGTGCACCCAGCCCCTTCGAGCTGCGTGATTCATCGCAGCCTTCGGATCCAGAAGGATGAGCAAATTCCTCAATTATAATCGTAGTAGGATACTGACTTTAGTGCTTAGCCTGGAATTGGCTGAGGCATGAAATTGACTGATGGCTCAGAATAGTTGGCCTAGAATAATAGGCTGGCATTTCAGATCTGTGAGAAAAAGATGAACCTTTCAAATGGTTCTTGGGCAATTGGTTATCCATGTGGAAAAAAAAAATTGGACCTCTACTTAATACCACACACAAATCAATTGCACAGTTAAGGTATTTATATTTAAAATAAAAACGTAAAGCTTTTAGAAAATAATATGGGCTAATATTTTTATGACCTTAAAGGAAGATTTCTTAAGACAAAAACGTGCAAACAATTTTATAAAAGGTTAATAAACTACTTAAAATTAAGAACATATTTATCAAAGATGCCAGAAAGAAATGGAAAAAACAAGCCTGGTAACTGTGAAAAATATTAATAACACACATGTAATTGACAAAGGACTAGTATTCAGAAACTATAAATAACTTATCCAAAACAAAATAAATCTGTATTACAACCAGTAGAAAAGTGGACAAAAGCCTTGTATAGGCAGTTCACAGAAAAGGAATGTTAAATGGCCAATACAAGAAACTTATAAAATACTTAATCCCATTAATAATAGGAGAAATGTAAATTAAAACCGTGAGATGCTCTTTATCACCCATCTCAAAAAATAAAGTCCAGCAATATCAGCTGTTGAACTTATGAATCAAAAAAAGCAGTATTCCACTGTGGATCAGTCCAACTATTTGGAAAATAATTTGGAAATGTTAGGTTGAGGATGTGCAGATTTAATAACTCAGAAATTCTATTGGTAGAGAGTGTATAAGAGACCCACAACTGTTCGTATCAGCTCAGTAATAGTTACAGAAAACTGGAATCCGTCTCCATGTCCACCGGTAATACAATGGATGAATGGGTGTGGTAGATTTGTGAGGTGGAGTCCTACAGTAATAAAAATGAATGAATTATGTCAATATGGGTGAATCTCAGGAAAACAATATCGAGCAGAGAAAAAGTGACAGTGTAATATAGTAAGTATGATTCTTATAGAAGGCTTAAAACTTGCCACTCTACATGATATATTGCTTAGGGACACACTCATTTTAAACAATTATAAAGAAAATAAGGAAATGATCAAGATAAAATTCAGGATGGTGGTTACCTATAAGCCAGGAGCACAGGGTACTTCAAAAGTAAAAGACTTTTTTTTTTTTCCTTTTGAAATGGGATGGTGCATACATAGGGGTTCATTGTGTTGTTATTTACACATGTTTCATACCAACCCAGTGCTTAAAAACATACATTATAGAAGACTGATAAGGGACTGAGACTTTTTGAAGGAAGGACCGACTGAGAGGTTGGAGAGGTGAAGGGAAACCAGCAGTGGGATCTAAGGAGAGATGGCGGTGAATTAAGATATTTCAGACTCTTGGAAGAATTTCACATATGCATGTAACACACATGCACACAAAGGGTGACTGTTATGCTGCACTGGAATCAAGAAAAGTGAGGATTGACAATGCTTACTGCGTTTGTCCAGAGGTCATTGATAGCCTTTAGGGCTTTGATTTTGCCAGAGCTGCGGAAATGGAAGCCTTTCTGAAAATTTCAGAATTAGTGTGGATGAATACATGTGGCAGTTCATATCAACAGATAATTCTCAGTGCTTTTGAATGAAAGAAAGAAAGAAATAGAAAGGTTAAGAATTTTTCAAAAGTTTGACAGTGGAGAGAATGGAGGAAGGGTAAGGGAAAATCATTCTGGAGAAAGGAGGAGGAGGTTAGTCTGGTACTTAGGGCTAAGGAGTTGGAAAGGGGTGGGATCTTTATTTAAACGAATTCACTGTCAATACTGATGTACTGCAAGGTCTAGAGAATGAGATGTAGACCCTCACTGATGGGCATTACAGTGAAAATTATCAACTAAATGGTCATACTACAAATATTTTCTACTGTATTCTTTTTTAAAAAAAGATGTATTCAAAATCTGTTAATTTGGAAAAGGAGTAAAGACACTTCTCTTGCCTCTAGAAACCTCTGTTTCAGTCTCTGCTCAGAATTTGTCAAATAGCTTATAAATAGGAAAAGAATGGCTATGTTATTGATGTTTAGAAAGAATTCTCCCACGTGCTACTCTCTGTAAGTTGTTCTTGAACTGCACCATCATTTATGGCTGATATTTGGATGAGCAACACTGTGGGGAGGGTATGCAGTATTTGAATACATTTATGAGTTCCTAGTGGTAATGTTTTTCAATTTGTCATGTTCCCTTCCTCTCAACCAACTTCACTTCTCCATCCCCTCATCATCTTAAAAAAAGAGAGAGTGGGCCAGGCAAGGTGGCTTATGCCTTTAATGCCAGCACTTTGGGAGGCCGAGGTGGGTTGATCACCTGAGGTCAGGAGTTCAAGACCAGCCTGGCCAACGTGGCGAAACCCTGTCTCTACTAAAAATACAAAAATTAGCCAGGCATGTTAGCACATGCCTGTAATCTCAGCTATTTGGGAGGCTGAGGCAAGAGAATCATTTGAACCTGGGAAGCAGAGTTTGCAGTGAGCCGAGATTGTGCCACTGCATTCCAGCCTGGTCAACAGAATAAGACTCTGTCTCAAAAATAAATAAATAAATAAAAAGAGAGAGGCTCTATATAGTTTAAAATTTAAGTATTGGCTGGGCATGGTGGTTCACACCTGTAATCTTAGCACTTTGAGAGGCCATGGTGGGAGGATCACTTGAGCTAGGAGTTCGAGACTAGTGTCTACAAAAATAAATAAAAATAAAAAAATAAAATTTAAGTATTTAAAACACAAAAAAATCTAAATTAGCAAATTTTAATGTTACATTTTAATTCTTTGGGAAGTGAAGATGCATATGTTGCATTTTTCCAGTTAAGGTACATGGACAGCAGAGAAGATGAACAGATCCGAGGGATCACTATGAAATCCAGTGCCATTTCACTACATTATGCAACAGGTTAATCAATCTGTTTTACAGAAACAGAGCTTTGCATCTTTCATGTCCTCCTCTCTCTTTCTGAATTGATTGCATGCCTCAGTTTCTTTGCTTATATTCTACATATTTTATTCTGGCCTTTACACGTGATCTGTTGTCAGAGTCATGCTGTCCAGGCTTGGAAGCAAATGGAAACCTCTGACTGGCTTGAGGGCAGAAGAACTGGCAGTTCACACTGGCCCCCTCCACCAGGTGCTTGTATGGATTTCTTCACCAGGAAAGTCAGGAGCCCTAGGCCTTTAGCTGGTTCAGCCCTACTATTCTGCCTCATGGCCTAGCCTGCATGTTAGATTTGGAGTCTTATTTACTTAAAAGTAGACTGGCATGATCAGGACCAGCTTGCTATCCTCAAATGAGGATGCTACTTTGATAGTAACACTTCTAGGAATTTATCTGACAGAAATAGTCATGTCAGTGTGTGAGATACATGTCACTGATATTCACTAAAAAGTTTGTATTTGTGAAAAAAATACCAACAACCTCAATGTCAGTAGGAGAATGGTTAAATAAACTGATACATCCAAGCTGTGAAATACTGTGCAGCTGTTAAACCTACTGTTTAATATATATGTCATTGTATAGGGAAGAATGCTATGTTAAGAGACAGAAAACGCAGATTATTTTTGTAAGATATGAATGTGTTTGGGTAATAAAAATATATATGCAGATAAAGGTGTCTGGAAGGATACTTAGCAAACCCTTAACAGTAGCTCTCTGCAGGGGCTATGATTATGGCAAAACTTGCACTTTTCAAAATATTTATTTTTGTAGTATTTGAAAATTTTACACAAAATGTGTATTCTTATAATTAGAAGAAAATAATAAAGATATATTTTATTTCTCTAATGGACTTACCTGTGGTTCATCCTTCACAAGTGTCATATCTTTGGCATTGCCACGAAAAGATGTACTCTGTGGGGCATGGCTGTTGTGCCAAACCAGTTTTGAAGCTCTTAGGCACATGAATTCTCAATGTTTAATGTTTAAAGTAACACTTCATTTTTAAAAACAAATAATTCTCACATTTTAAAGGGTATGTTCTCTTCCTGTAATCCAGAGAATGGGGTTGAGGGTCTATTGATTTATCTCATTTTATAGACTTCAAGAGATTTGTAGGCTGCCTTCCTCCTTACCCAGATTATTAGTCTGTTTTTATTTGAAGATTCCTCTGGTGTCAGTTTTAGTTGTTCTGCTCTATACTTTGTCTCTAGTCCCCCTCCCCTGAGTCCTTTAACCACTTTGTTAAGGTTTAATTTATATACCATAAAATTCACCCACTCCAATTCACATTTGTCTTTCTGGTGTAGTATTGTAGAAGAATTTGCTGTAGGACCCTGGGAATTGAATGGTCTGAACTCTAATTTTGTTGAGCT